TGAAGATGAACGAAGGTCTTACGGGTTTGGAACAACATGAGGGTGGGTATTTTTGGGTGAACTATCCCTTTAAATTGTATTTCCCTCCCTTTTCTCGCTGCAGGTGTGAAGTTGGCATGACACACTGGGCGCAATGCAATGACACTCCGGTGAAGTTTGCACGCTTCCCTGTAACTGGTCTCGTGGAAGGACGAAGCTATGTGTTTCGAGTGCGTGCGGTGAACAAGGCAGGCATGAGCCATCCATCTCGTGTGTCTGAACCAGTAGACGCTATGGACCCCGCAGACCGCACAAGAAAAGGTACAACCAGATCAAAATTCACACAAAAACAAAACGAAAACAAAGCAATCAGTACAATATACTTTCTCTCTGTAGGTACCTCTGCTCCTTGGACTGGACAAATCATTGTGACTGAGGAGGAGCCTGTGGGTGAGAAATTTCAAATTAAAATGATCTCTTTCTGTCATTAAAAACATTTAAATATAGGGAATCCTATAGAAGCCACCATAGTTCAGCTAAACATGATTCTTTAAGTCACAATCGAGAAAACTAGCAATTATGACTTATTATTCTCATTTTATTGAGAAAGTCTCTCATATTGACTTCCTGTATCGTATAATAAGACACTTTCCATTGATTACGGCTTAGTATCTCATAATAATGAGAAACTTTCTCATTATAAGGAATTAATATATCATAAAAATGAGAAACTGTCTCATAAGGAATTAATATATCTTAATAATGAGAAACTTTCTCATTATAAGGAATTAATATATCATAATAATGAGAAACTGTCTCATAATAAGGACTTAGTATCTCATTATAGAGAAAATGTCTCATAATAATGACTTTATGTATCATAATAATGAGACAATTTCCCATAATTATGACTGTCTCATAATAATGATAACCCTTCTTGTATTAGTTAATATGTTTTAATATTTAGATGTCTTTATTATGACTTAACATCTATATTTAATGAGAACAATAAGTTCATGTTATGATATTCAGAAAATAAATCTCATTATTATGATTTAACATTGCATTATAATGAAAAACTTCATCATATTATGACTTAACATCTCATTATAAGACTTCTTGTAATAATAAGAACCTTTCTCATAATAATGACTTAGTATCTCATAATACTGTGAAACTTCCTCATAATGAGACACTATTATAATTGTTACAAAAATAGAAAATAAATCTCATTATGATGACTTAACATTGTATTATGAGAAACTTTCTCATAAAAAAATCTCATTAAATGATGTGCATATCATAATAGTGAAAAACGTAATAATAATAATGACTATCTCATAATGAGAAACTTTCTCATAGTGACTGATGAGAAACTAAATCATCATTATGGTAAGTTTCTCATTGTTATGAGATGTTTCGGCATCGTAACAAGAAACTTTCTCAGTGTAATGAGAACATTTCTCATTTTCCTTTGAGTTTCTCATAACCTGAAAGTTATTATTAAGGTATTATTATGAGAACATCTCTCATTATTATGAGATAAGTCAATATTACGAAAAAAGTTTCTCATTGTTATCATATTTTTTACTCAACTTTGGTGGAAACAGACTTCCACAGGGAATCTCTATGAAATATATTTTTTAAAATCCTTATACAGCTTCACAAACATATGGAAAAGTACACTGGTCAGATACTATATCTGCATGTCCTTGCCATGTCCATTGTATTCTCTTTCGAAATCCCACAGTTTATTACCTAAAACTGATCAATTAACCTACAGTACATTACCAATATTATGTGCTGCATTTGGTATTTTATCTTGACTTCATGTAGAGGGAGTGGTTCCCGGCAGACCTTGTGATCTCTCAGTCATTGAGGCCACTAAAAACTATGTGGTGTTGAGCTGGAAGCCTCCGGGCGACAAGGGCCATGAAGGGGTTATGTATTACGTGGAGAAGGTCAGAGTGCAAAACTGAATTTAACTTCATAACCAATCCCAGTGGCATTTATATATTTAATAAAGCTTAAGTGTATGTTGAAGACTGTTGTTTGTAATTGGTTTAGTAATAATATGTGTGTGTGTGTGTGTGTGTGTGTGTGTGTGTGTGTG